AAATTCATAAACATAATTGGTAGGACAATACTGACATAATTGGATAGAATACATTCTTTACCAGGTAGAAAGAATACACAAATAAATTGGTCATACCAGTAGGAAAAAACATGCTATATGGTACAGAAAGCTTAAAGACAAATCAGACTAACAAGTCAATAGCGCTAACAAGTGTTAAAGGTTCCTTTGGATTGAAATTCCGGGTTTAAGTAGTGGTGAGTACAGTTGCCAGGACTCTCTTACTGACTGTTCAGCCAGAAGATGCAACAACAATGAAACGGTAACAGAAACTGAGTAGGTGCTAGGGAAAGCAGCTCAGCAATGATGACCTATTTTAGTCACCTCCTTGTAGTTGACTGTGAAAATTTCGCACAAAGATGTGATGAAAACAGCATTTTTACACAATGTACTTGTACCATGAAGCAATCAAGTTAAAGATTCACATGAAAAAAAAAAGCCAATTAAGCAGTACAGGGAACTTGATTTTAAGACATTTTTTTCTAAGGATACACATTTTAACAATGACCATAATGAAATATAAATCAACATTGTTAGGGAAGCAATGAAAGCTGTAAAAACATTTACTACAACAATTTCAACCTCAAAGCAGGAGGACTATATTAAGTAAAAAAGATTTTAAAAAGGAACAGAAAGTGAGCACCAAAGGGTAAAGCCTTTTCCAAACGCAGGGGCATTTCAAAGACACCATGCTGGAGAAAATGAACTAATGTCTGCCAGCTATTAAAAGAAGACTTTAAAGAGACCAGAAGGAAGTGAGCAGAGCTGAACAATATGTAAAGAGAAATTATTAGAAATAAGGAACTGTTCTTCAGACAGCTGAAGTTGCATCCAAATGTGAGAAATGCAAAGAACTAAATCCTACCAAAGTAAACACTACACTAAGGCAGCCCCCCTGGCCCCCCAAATGAGGAGCAAAATCACATAAGGTATAAGAACTAACACTTGTCCTTTGTCAAAAACTGCAGGGGCAGAAAGTGTACCAGACAGCGTGTAGGCCAACAGATGATCAAGGAATGAAAGGAGAGCATCAGTGAGGGGTTTTTTTAAACACATGTTCATTATGGAAGAGCCTGGATAGGCTCCTGTGCCAGAACCTTTCTTTGTGGGTAACATGACAAACTATCTACCTCAAAGTTAATGTCAGAAAGCTAAAGAGTCAAATAAGTGGTAACAAAACACTGGGATCAGATGGTAGTCATCCAAGAGATCTAAAACTGAACCACTGTGCAAAAACTCTCGCCTAATATCACCTCAATATGATGGAAATGGAACGTATCAAATACAATGCCAACTTTCAAAAGATGCTTCAGAGGAGATCTGGGGAACTACAGGTCAACCAGACAGACGCTTGTATGGTTAGAAGTTTCAAGAAGTAGAAACCATAATAAAATAATAAGTAGGCACTTGGATGAGCATGATACATTGCAGCAGAGCACACAACACAGCTTTCTGTACAGGTTAATTACAATGACGAAGTCTCCAGAAAATTTCTGAGGTGACAATCATGTAAATGAGCAAAGCTTGGCTGATGTGGGATACCTTTACAAAATTGAGTTAGACTGATTACAAGGTGCCTCAAAAATAATTTTAAAAACCCATAGATCTTTACATGGTCAATTGATTAAGAGTTATTAAAACACTGGCAAGAATAAATTGTCAGCTTCCACAGCACAGGAAAGTTGCTGGTGGATCCATGCTCAGGCCTATGCTGTTCAACATACTGATAAACAGTCTGGAAAAAAGGAGCAAGCAATTTTTACAAGTTACTCAAAGTTATAGAGAAAAATGCAATGTTAAGAATTCTTAGAAACTGAAGGGGAAAAGCCTCTCACTTTCTTAAACCACAGAACAAATTCAGAGATTACATGTTAAACTCTGTGAACAGCTTTGCTGTTCATCTTGGGAACGATACAATGAAACTAGCAGAGACAGAGGAGAAAGAGCACAGCCATAGGCATAGAAAGGCTGTAATAGAGGAACAAGACTGACCACATCTTTTCAGGTGGAAAAAAAGCAGCCTTAAATGAAGTCATGGCCAAGACTTATAAAATAAAGAATGACACAGAAATGGTGAATAAGAACTGACTGCTCATTGTGTCTTCCAACACAAGAGACTAGGGGACATCAAGTCAAACAAGAAGGCTGTTAAGTTCTACAAGTTCAAAACAGAGGTATTTCCTCACACAAGGTGATGGTAAGCTGCAGAACTGCCTGCAATGGTTACTACGTACACTGAAAAATTATATGGGTTCAAGAAGCAGCTGGACAAATTTACCAAAAACAAAACCGAAGCAAAACCAACAAGTTCACTGAAAATTAATAAATAGACATTGCCCTTGGTTGAAAGACTGCATATTGAAAAAAAATATTCAGATGTATCACTATTTGCTTGCTTCTTTCTTGTACTCCTGACAAGGCACCCATTGCAGCCCACCTGCCTAGGATAAAGGGCTGGAAGGACCCTCAGTCAATGACATCATAGATGTTCTGCACTATCCAAACACCACAAGGAAAAAGTACTTTTGACAGTAAATATTCACTGCAAGAGAAGTAGATGAAAAAGACTGTTTGCCAGAAAATACTTGGGTTTTCTGATTAATATATAGGTTTTTTACTAAATATGTTTTAACTTTCAAGATGATATATAAAGCTTTTTTTTTTAAAAAAAAGACCCTGCAGCAGTTAACCTGTTTGGTTATATGATCTCATTTACCATGCTCTTTGTCTTGTAACACACTCATCCTTCATTTACAGTCACTGCTTATCTACCTGCTAGCCACTGCAGATTTGTTTGAGATCTGCTTTAGCACAGTGGTGCTGAACAGCCTAACAGAGGCCAGAGGTCTCAAGATCTGCAGCTTTTAATTGAGTTTACTCTCTGTTCTTCCAATATGTTATGACTTAGTAATTAAAAACATGTATGACTTAGATCTATGCCTAGCAATTATAGTTGTGTTTTTATACTTGGTCTCTTCTAAGAAGATATTTATTACCTCCTTTCAAATGGAAAAGAGATTATTGAATTTTTTAATAGACAACGTTATGACAACTTAAAGGATTGCTGGTTTTAACAGACCTTCTAGTGAGCCAGGATATCATGCTCATTTACTACATCTTCTAGCTTGAACTTCAGCTTCTTGGTGCTTGTTCTCACAGTTTAAATTGACTGTATCTCCTTTTCATAGTTCCATTTTCACTGTACCCAGATCATTAGCTATTGAACATTTCTAGGAAGCTGAATATTATAGTTAAACAGTTGCCAATGTTACCAGTCTTAAAAATATATTTTTATACTCTCTTGTAATACAGCTTTAAAGGCAGTTGCTGTACACTGGTAATATAAACCAACAGCAACAGCTTTGAGACACTCACTAATTCTATCTTCCCCCAAACTAAACTTCACAAACAAAAAACCCCAAAACCAAACGCTATACCCCTACAGACCCTTTTTCCCAATATCTATTTTACACATACACACAAAAATGCACAATCCACTCAATACAACATTTAATTTCACAGAAAAATATGTAACCTGTCTGTTCCGATCCTGAATGGCTCCTATCCGCATTGTCTATCAACTTCTAACATCAAAATTGCAGTCAAGAAAGCCAAAGTTATGCTATGGAACTAGACATCCATTTCTTATTACCGGTATTTTGCTTAAATTCTGCATCCTAACAACTCAGTGAAAAGTACCTATTAGCTAAAACTGTGTAAAAGAAAAAAACTGTCTTAAATATATTTCAATATTTAACATTTACAAGAAAACCTCTAAGAAAATCCAAATATGAAGAGAAACTGAGGATGTTAGTGTCTCTGATTTTATGTAATTTTTTCTTCCAGGTTTCACTCTAACATGGCTCCCATAGATGTTAGCAATAAAGTCCCAATCTTATCCATCACAGAATGCAGTAAGTGATTTCATGCACGCATAAAGCCCTAACAAACTTGGAGTCACGTGTAGGGAGGTGATTTTGAGGCATGAGAGTCTGCAGTATTCTGAATGTAAATATGAATAAAGATGCAAGTCCGTTGTGCAAAAAGTTGAGTGTTGTGACACTAGGTTTACACAGGAAGCATCAGAACTTGCCTGAATTTGAAGAATATAAAGTGGTACTTAATCTGAAAACAAAGATTCTTATTTGCAAGACAAGCACTTGCAGTCAAGTTTAAAACAGAAATGAAAGGTTACAATGAAACAGAGAAAAATTAACCATTGTTATATGTAAATACACAGCAGTTTTGTTCTTTCAAATGTGTCCAAAAGAATGCTTAGAATCCATAGCCATTCCACATTTTTCTTATTAAAAGTAATTTTTTCTTACAATCCATAAAAAGTTTATTTGAAACTCAAGCCTCTCCAAAACTCAAATGTTTCATTTTTCAAATGCAACTATTCACAAGTGAAAAGGTTCTTCAAGATAAGAAGCCAGCAACTATAATGACCACCAACAAACAGTTCTTTTCGTCTGTCTTTGCTAAGAACACTTTAGTCATGTATTCCTGCTGTCTTTAATTCCCCTTCATTCAGCCTGTATCTAGAGGCAATCACTCTGAAGAACCTGACAACTCATTAACACTTCCTTTTGGTTTTGAGAGCTACCTTTAGTTAGAATCACATGAAAGAATCTATTTGGATAACAGATATACAGTTATTTGTCACATTAAAATTGTGAAATTTTGATTTGTTTTCTCTACACTGATGCAACTAATGGAAGGATTAATTAAGAGGGGTTTGGTAGGAGGTCATACATTTGATCACATTTTCAAAGGGAATTACAAAATGAGGTTTCTCAAATAAATACTATGATCTTCAGCCGTACGCATTCTCATTCAAAGACCTTTCCTCATTTTAGTAAATCTGTTAAAAAGCAATTTACAGAACTTGCAGTCATATTAGCTGCTCTATTGAGAACAACTTATTTTCTCCAACCTGGGCATAATAAAGGTGGAAGTGAATTCCACTGTTAAGGACTTACCATAGGTTGCAAATGTTCTTCTTTGTTGTTCAAACATAAAATCATTGATGTGAGCTGGTTCGGCATATCCAGAAAGCATATTTCTAGGTGCAGCCATTTGTTGAGTCCTAAATGGGTTTTCTGGTCCAAACTACATCGATGTTAAAAGAAAGTATATCAGAATTACTAACGTCTTATTTTTGTGTGTGTACTTTTTAAGGAAAAACAAAGGAAAGAAAAAAAAAAAGCCTTGTCTTTCAAAAACTGTAACACAATATCACTCCAACTTTATGGTTCTTTATGACTACTGAGTAAGCTTCTTAGTCTATCATTTTACACAGTAATTGCTTACACAGTTGCTTCACAATTGAACTTTCTAGTCTGTATTACTGGTACAGAGAACAAATCAATATCAACTACTTGCCACAAAACACTGCCATTCAGTATGTGTTCAGTACAACATTCAGAAGACAAAACCACAGCATACTGTGCCTTGTAAGGTGGAGATACAAAGAAATGCTATCAGGTCCCACTAAACTCATGTGCTTAATATGGAAATTACACTGACAGCAATACTTTCATGCATCTAAAAAGCAACTGAGGACTTGCTGCATTATTCCAGGAAATACAATTATGAAACTCTGCTTTGCTTTTCTTCTTGCGAGATGACAAATGCCAGTCTTCCTGACCATACCATGATTAGGGTAAAGAACAGTAAATACAAACAAATGCAATATACTGAGACTAATAACAAGCTAAATTTAATTGTAATCCCTATGCTTATCAGCCCTATTTGCAGACACCTGAAACTGTCCCACATTAGGCTTCCCTAACTAAAACACTTCCACAAGGTAACACCATCGTAAGTTTAAATCAGTATTTTTTCCTCACGCACTTCATGGGTTTGGTATGTTGCAAAATGCAAGCTTGCTATGAAAAGGCTAATTTATGTGGTTCCACAAAAGGTTTTCTAAACATAAAGCATAGTTAATGTAAAAATTTCAGACTGATGCAGTCTTTATCTACCTAGAACATTAAGCCTTGGTCTAACAGAAGACAAACTGTACAAAAGTGAAATACTGGAAAAAGTTTGAGCAGCTATTTTTATCTTTCAGATAGCCTGTCAGTTGTAATAAAATACAAAGTGGTTCACATAGTACCAGGCTGTCCAAATTCAGCCTAAAATGTTTTTTCACTATACGCAGCTTAAGCTCCTACAACACTTAACACTGATGTGAATAGCTATACTGACAGTTCCTGGATTTTAATTTTAAATCTTCCTTTTAAAAGCCATATATCTGCCAGACTTAGAAACATTAGTTTTGCTTTAAGTAGCTTAATGAGTAAATAGCAAAACTGTGAAAATAGCAAGAGACTACTTTAATGCAGTTCATGTTTTACTCAACATCTTTACAATGCTATTTTCCTAGCTTGATTTTTAATTTCTGTAGCTATAATTCCGATAAAAACTTTAAGATTCTTCTTAGAATAGCTTTATGCAAAAATATTAAAATTCAAGCATTAAAAATACCAACATACCTGTGCAGAATCTTTTTCAATTTGACCAAACTAGATTCCAAAACACAGCAAGCATTCAAAGAAGAAATGTCTTATATGAATTTCATACAAGATTTATAGAACCTCTGCCCTCTAAGCCAAAGGCATTTCTGCTCTAAAGATACTGTTTCCTACCTCAGGTGCAAACATGGTATCATAAGTGGGATTGTATTGAACTTCCTTGATAGCAGGATCAAGGTGGACTCCTGTTTCCACATCTTCCTGAAAAAAATAGACATATTAATAAACGATTTTTCACATACAGACCTTTAAATATATGACATTATCCCACTCCAGACCTAATTAGGGCTGTAGTTTAAGTTGTCACTTTCAGCACTATGAAAGGAGAAGAGTAGCTTGGTCAAAGTTTCTATCTAAAAATCCAAATTGATTGCAAAACCAATGTCAGGCTTTCACTGAGAAATTAGTCCAAGATACACGTGAAAAATTCTGCATGTATTATTACTTTTTTTTAAAGACATCACACACACATTTCAAAAACGGTAGCAAGAATGGAGGCAAGCTTTTCTTTTTGGAGGATGTTTTAAGACCAGACCTTGTAAAGAGAAGCCAAGTAAAATGGTGACCAGTAAGCATGAAAACTAGAGCTCTACAAAAGGTAGAAGGCAGAAGTCACTATTAACTGCCTTGAAAGATAGTTGGGAAAAAAACATTAGATGTCAGCACAAACACACATATAACAATGAGTTTCAGATAATCCAACAATCCCTTATCTCCAAGTTTTTGCCAAAAGGTATAAACGTAATTCAGCTTCAGTATTTACACACATTTCCAAGCCTGTCGGCTTGGAACAAAAATTTAACTTGCTAGATGAAGGGACAAGAAAGAAGGGCTAAACAAAAAAATAACTTCTCGAGCAAGCCAAAGGGAAAAAACTCCAAAGGGCACATGCAGCTGAAGTAGAAGACAGAGAAGTTGGAAAGAAAAAGGCTGATTAGGTGGCAGTGCTCAAAAAGACCTGGTTTCACAGAGCTCTCCAAAGGCTCACTTACACTGATCCTAAATTGATACTACCTCCCCATTATGGGCTCAGTTAATGAAGGAAAACGTTATTTTGCAGTATTATTACTGGTATTGCTTCCCACATCTTTATTCCAGAATAAATGCATTTGAAAGGGATTTACAATGTGCTAGTATATTGACAATATCCGTAGTAATTATATCGAAAAAGCTATCTTAGCGTCAGTGTTTAATCAGTGCTCACCTACCAACAGGATCCAAAAGCATTTGCAACTCACAGAAGGAAGCAGCACAACAGAGGATCATATTTTAACAGTCACTTCATTAATAGAAAATTACCTTGAACAAACTCAATCTTGCTTTGTATTATAGTATCTCGAAAGAACAAAATGGCATGTTCTTTACTTATCTAATATTGCTAGCTATTCTCTCACACGCTGTGCCCAGAAGCTTTTTTTCTCCCCAATTCAACAGCAGGTCAATTACAAACAAATTCACTTTGGCATGCAAGGCTTAAAAGGTTTTCTAACCTGGTTTTCTAGAACACAGAAGAGAAAAACAGTACCTAAAAATCTTTGGCTTATTATTCAATTATACTTAGTTAAAAATGCTCAAAAAAAAAAAAGTGTGTTTTATTTGTTTTTAAAGAGAATGACATCAGCAATCCCATCAGTTGTTTTTCTACCAAGACCACTGTCTTAGTAGAACTGCTACGGCCAACTAGAAAGCTTTACTCTGTGTATCAATTATTTTAACAGGCGAGTCCAGCCACTGCACTGCTCTTGCTTGAGCCCTTGGCACTGCCAATTCTTGGCCTGACCTCATTTCTCTCATCACACGACCTATCCAATTCACTGGGCTTGGATGACAACAGCTACCAGTAAATTCACAGCCCTGACTTCCATACACTCTGAACTCGCCTGGGAACAGCACAGCAGGCCTAATCCAGTCATTCAGCAACAAAAACAGAGCCCCACCATCCCCAGCTAGAATAGGAGCATATCAAAACCCTTTGCTAACGTGTATTACCTACACACTTATAATTTCCTTTCACAGCTCCATGACTTGCAGATATTTTCCATAGACAACTTTTTCAAATCACATCATACAGCTTGTTCTGCCAGCTAGACTTCACATCCACCAACCTTATAATTTGAAAAAAATAAAAATTAGTATCACTAATAATATGGCAAAATTTATCTGATCAACTGTCAGTGACATTTAAACAATTATCAGTTCACTTGACATTAAGACACGTTTTTTTTCCTGGTCTTTAAACTGAAAAAGTGAGAAAACCCCAGCTTTGCCAAAGTGTCAAGAATTTTTCAGTTCTGCTATTTTTTTTTCCTCTTTTCCTCCTGTTGAGTCCTATTATATGCCACTCAGTAATTGAGAAATGAAACAGATTGTGCCATGAAAGCTGATCCTCTGCTGGACCATTATAGCAATTCTGGTTCTACTTCACTGCTGGTAGAACAGTGCTGAGTCACTTGGAAGCCACACAATATGTTCACTCCTGGACCACCACAGGCACAGTCTTTCTGCGTGAAAACTACTGAGCCTTGAAACTGAAGCACATGTTATATTTATCAGAGCTACACCCCCCAAGACTGCCAGCTTTATTCATGCTTTCATATATTTGGGCATCAAGTGAGATCTGTTAGTATGCTGCCTAAGTATATAATGTTTATCTTTTTCACTATGCAAGTTCACTTTAAACTATATAATAATTTGAATGTGTCCCAACTCACCACTTTACCTTCTCAGTATTTTAAAGAATTGAAATCTTGATAGGAAAATAAACTACTGACACAACATATTCTGAAATGTTAGTCTACATCAAGAGTTCAAACTGCAGCAGACAAATCAGCCTTTGGTCAACATCTGACAAAAGCCATTTTGTACAGCATTATGAGACTCTGGTAGATAACAGAAACATTAAAAATATTAACCTACTCCATCAATCATTTCATAAATTGGCAAGCTATCTGCATTGGGGAGTTTTGTTTTGTTTTCTCATGACAGGAAATAACTCATCAGCAACCCCTGCACGTGGTAAAGATCACTGGGTACAACTGCATGCATCACCAGAAGACCGTTTCAGAGGAACTCATCCTTCTAAGACCCAGAAAGGGAAAAAAGTAAACATACAGGTCTTATGACTCTGTCCCTTCACGTTGCCAACTGCCAACAGAATTTACCCACAGGCACTCTAGGTGCATTTGCCATAGCTACAGCGAACAGGGAAGGGATCACAGGAGCAGCAGTCTGGTAGAGCTGTGACTGAGATAAGCTAATCTAAGGGATCATGATGCCCTGCTGTGCTGTAGTTTTTTCTTTGGTCACAGACAACATATCCTGATTTCTCTAAGGTTAGCAATTCTTCATGTAGTTTATGTCCCAAGTGCTACACAAGTGGCTCTGCAGCATGGAAGACTATCAGTAGCTAGGCAGAAAGTGGAGGGCATCTGTGAATTCAATGATGGCCTAAGTATTACCCCAGGTCATTTCCCACTCACAAAAGCACAGGAATCATAAAAAGGGGGGTCAAGAAGCTGTCAGTTTAAACAGATACAGTATTCCTCCAGAGAAAGCTGTAAGTTCAGTTTTAGGTCTGGCAGAGAAGCAGCTTGGGTTTGCTCTAACTCAGAAATTGTATAAATATGGGTTTTAAAGCATGCCGTAATATCATTAAGGGTGGTACATTCCATATAACCTGGAAAAGAAGAATTTACGAAGTTATGTTTTACTGAATATGACTTTCTTGGAAGACATAATAGAATGGAGCTGCAAACTTCAGCTCTACATGTCAGCTTTCTGCTTTTCTCAGCACTGGTAACAAGCACCCAACTGAAATACAGTGGCCTTATCGGGTAAGACAGACGCTACTGAAAAGGGTCCAAAAGAGAAAATCAAGAATGATCAGAGGTCTAAGAAAATATGACATATATAAAACTGAACTATCTAATTCAGCCTAAAAAATACTCAAACTATACAACTTAGCAGAAATAAGGACAGCTAAACACTGAAATTGCTCAGTCTGTAGATCCACTGAAGTTTGGTAAACAGGTTAAATGAGTGTCTGTCCAAACAGATGCAGATAACGCTCCTGATGCAAAGCAAAAAAAGAAGCTGATGGTATCTTATCACTGAACTCCTTGGTCTGTTGGTTGGGAATTTTTGGTTTTGTTTTGTTTTAAATAAGTGTGATGTCTGCTTACTTGCAGTGTCAAGTTGATTTACAGTTCAAATATGTGATCAGGTAAAAAATCCTTTGATAATTAAGTGCTCTCCTTTTGCTTCTTTCATCCTACAACACAGCATCACACTATCATAGGGGAATGGCAGTTAGGGTTATACCCTGGAATATTAGCATTTCCTAAGGAACCTACCTTTAGACAGAAAGAAGCTTTTGATGATGTGTAGACAAGCAGGTGCTTTATTATAACTCCCTACAGATCACAGAATATCTAGCTCCTGCCAAGGTGTGCTCCTTTAGTCCTACTATAAAGGCCCTTTGGCCTGTTAAAAGTCAGCATAGGAAAGAGCACAGGAAATAGAAGGGATTTTAGACGATAAACACAAAAAATCAGATTAGCTTTCCCTCTTGTAGATTCCTTAAACGTGCCACAGTCCTGTTTTTCTCCAGAAAAACCCTACCTAAACAACATAAAACAAAACTATTACCATCTATGAAAAGTACTTGATTTATAGAATGCAAAATAGTTCAATAATAATAAAAAAAAAAATCTGAAAAAAGCTTGCTAGAAGTTTTCTTTTATATGTATACAAGACAAAAACATTTTTGAGCTAAACACAGCCCAAATCCATGTAACAGGCATCAACGCAAAACCTTAAATAAAACAAACAAGTTGCAGAATGGGCTGCAACACTGGATGCTAATTCTGTTCCTTATAAAGAATATAATGTGATTTATATTAAAGGCAACTCACAGTCTTTTTCATCCACAATATTTTAAAATTTCAGCCAAATTCTATAATCCCCACTGTGATAATATGTGGCTACCTGTAAGTTTAATGAGAGCTGTTTATGCATTTAGAAGCAGAATTTGACACTTAGATCTCAAGTGTTTGTCTAAACACAAAATTTATTAGAACAAAGCAAAGGTCAGAGTCTTCCAGTTTCATATCATGCAGAAAGTTGTGATGTCTATGTTTGTGGGGTTTTTTCTGTTTTGTTTCGTTTTTGTTTTGTTTTTTTTTCTGGACATTTTAGATAAA